ACTCGCCATCAATTTTAGACTCTGTGAGTCTAAAAATATTCTAAACATAAATTCTATTAAAAAATTTAGAAATTTAGACCCAAACTGAATGAAATGCTATCTCTACACACCTGTCTGATGTAATTTTTTTTAAATAACTAAACTCGCTAAGAAAGTTCACAGTCACTGAGGTATTCAATAAACAATTTCTACCAAACCAAATGATGACTAATGTGCATGGCTGTGATATAAATGTATTTTAAACGTACTAAGCCTCAATAACTACTCTCCATGAAAATAAAATAAAATAATACATACAAAATTTTAAAGTTGAGAATATATATGATTACTGTTTATTTTTGAATTTGTTCTTGCAAGAAATTTCCCCATATAAAATAGCTTTCTTAATCTTTTTCCTTGTTTTTCCTTTAGCTGATGGGTATTGAAATTGACCCAAAATATGGAGGTACGGGAGCTTCGTTTTTTTCCGCTATCCTAGTGATAGAGGAATTAGCCAAAGTCGATGCATCGGTGGCTCTCCTTTGTGACCTCCAGAACACAGTAATTAACAAAATGATTACAGAACATGGAACAGAAGAACAGAAGGCCACCTATTTACCTGAGCTGGCTACAGAAAAAGTGAGTTGAGACAAGTTGTTGAAATGAATCCGATCTTTTCTAAGTTTACAGTATTTTCAGGAGAAAAGTAGCTGCATTGTTGACTTCATTATCCAGGACCATAACGCAACACCGTTAATTAATCAAGCAATGCTCAATAAATTAATGCTACTAGAAAAATAGACTCTGCCTCTCATTTGCCACTTGGAAATTTAGAGAATAATAATTTAGACAATAAAATTGTTTCTTTTCTGTTCCAATTATATTTTCCAATACCTGTTGATGGTTTCATTTACATCGAGATATCATCTTACCATAATTATTAGAATCAATTTAAATAAACTTCATTATGTATTCTTAAGTCTTTAAATTTGTGTTGGACAAATTCTAGCAAATATTTTGGAAAATAATACTGTCAGAATAACATTACAATTTTGATAAATACTAAAAAAGTAGCTAAAGGTTTGACTTAGAAATGCTCATTTTGCCATAAGTATTTGTTATACAGGGTATAAATGCAGTTATTAATTTGTTTCTCTCTCTCTCATCTGTAGATAGGAAGTTTCTGCCTTTCAGAGGCTGGAGCAGGTAGCGACTCATTTTCTCTGAAGACAAGAGCCAATAAAAAGGGAAACTATTATGTCATCAATGGGTCCAAGATGTGGATCAGCAGTGCTGCACATGCAGATCTGTTCCTGGTGATGGCGAATGTAGACCCTAGCATTGTAAGTTTGAAAACAAAATATCGTTCCCTTTCCCCCTCATCTCTCCTCTTTCTTTTCCTTTTCCTCCTTTCGTTTCCTTTTTAGGATTTAGTCTTAAATTATTCTTCCTTCTCCTCAGTACTGAAAATGTTAGCCTTGAACTGGCATCTTTTCACCCTCTTACTTATTAACGTAAAATAAATATTATTGACATAATTATTAATTACAATCGGCCCTCCGTATTTGTGGGTTTCACATCCATAGATTCGACCAACCACAGATTGAAAATATTCAGAAAAAAATTCCACAAAGTTCCAAAAAGCAAAACTTGGATGTGCCAAGTACTACAGTGAATCCACGAGAATAAAGAGATGTGTAGACATTGTATTAGTAATCTAGCAATGATTTAAAGTATACAGCAACATGTGCATGGGTTACATGCAAATACTACTCCATTCTATATTAGGGACTTGAACATCTATGGGTTTCGGTATCCACGGGGGTTCTGGTACCAGTCTCCCCAGATACTAAGGCATGACTATACATGGAGGATCATTTATTAATTATCTCATAATATAAAGGAAGCTAATCTTTAATTTTGTAGCATTTCAAATTTTCTATTTAATAGTGATGAAGTTAAGTACCTATTTAATACATTTATTTTAAGAATATTTTGTTCAGTTGGAAAATAGACATAACAAAATAGTAAATAAAATGGTAAATTTTATCTGCTTACTAACGTCCATTTGTGGTTTGCTTTTTACTCCGAACTCTTTAGAAGCAAGGGATTTTATAAATCCAAGTGGTAATAGCATTTGAAATCTTTTTAGGGATATAAAGGAATTACCTGCTTCTTAGTAGATCGTGATACTGCAGGCCTTCACGTAGGGAAAACGGAAAACAAACTGGGGATCAGAGCTTCTTCCACGTGCCCGTTAACATTTGAAGGTGTCAAGGTGGGTATCTTAGAATATTCAATAAAAGACTGATGTGAAATAAGCTTTGTATCATAAGAGGTGTGTAAGAGAGGTGTCAAAATATCAAGTGGCTATAAGAGTATTTTGTGAAACTCCTGAACAGTGCTCTTAAGTCACGACTAAATATACTTTTTATAAGAGTTTAGGCCAAGAGTGGAAACCTTTCTGCCAAGTAACTGGCCTTGGGAGCAAATGCTGAGAATTGATCCCATTTATATTTTATAACTTGTGTACTTCTGAACCATTTATAAGTTTGATACTTGTGAACGAAACGTGCTTCAGAAAAGGGAGTCTGGTGTCAGTGCACCAAAGGCCACAAGATGGGGATGTTGCTCAGTGAGAGTGGAAACCGGTCAGGCAGCGCCCACGGTTTACAGCTGAGTCTTTTAAAAGGTGAGGGATAGAAGATGGTCAGAATGCTTACGCTTCAGAACTTTCTGTAGATAGGACAGGTTGTGCTGGGTTTCCCACCGCTCATAATAGAGCTTGATCTTCCTGTGCATGCGTGTGTTGGATAAGGGAGGGTTGTCTTCTTTACAAATGTCATTTGGATGTCACTACTGGGCCCCAACTTCCCTCCTCCTTCCTACTTTCCCTTTTCTTTCCCCATTTTCCCCTATTCTCTCTCCCACCTGCCCATATTATAAAGTGAAGAATATTTCTTTATTCTGAGTCTTAATTTTTTAAAATTATGAATAAAAACATTTTTGTTGCCCCTCTCCTCCTGTCTCCTCCTCTCTATGTGCACGCACATAGGTGCACACACATAAACATATACACACACCCCCCTCAGTTGATTTTCGTGAAGGTCAAGAGTCTCAACAGAAGAAAGGCTTTACTACTCTTGTTTTTGCAAGTACTTGCATTTTTTTTTTTTTTTGTAGTTCCTAATACATTATCTCACACTATAGCATACAGATAGGAATTGGGGAAAAAATATTTATTTATGTTATGGATGAATCGTATGCAATTTCTAGGTTTATTCATTCATTCATTCATTCATTCAACAAATTGCACAAGGCTTTGAAGCATGCAGTAGTGAACAACGGGTATTTAAGTACCTTCCCTCCAAGAGCTGTGAGGAAACAGTGCAGAGGGAGGCACCGAGAGGTCAGCAAGTACTGTGAGAAAGGAGTAGCACACAAATTGAGAGTCCAAGTGCATTTAAAAATACATGGTCAAAATGAATAATGTCAAATTAAATTGAGAAATAAGTGCACATTTGTATTTTTCAGGTTCCAGAAACCAATATCTTGGGACAAATTGGACATGGCTACAAGTATGCCATAGGGGCCCTCAATAAAGGTAGAATAGGAATAGCTGCGCAGGTAAGTCCAGCTGTAGCTCCTCCACCGTGTGAGTCAATTAAAATGGGAAAGGAAGACAATCTTGTGAGACCAGGGAGTATTTGGGAGCTGCGAACACAAGATGGCACCCTTCTCCCACGCGAGGTGAAAGCACAGCTTCGATTATCTTTCGGATTCCGTTGCGGTCAGTCACAGAAGTGTCCAGAGAGCTAAACACTGGCCTAGAGATAGGGTTTTTCTGCTTCAATGTATTGTTCAGTACTTCTACCAATAACTTCTAAAATGTATTGGAAATTAAAAATGGCATTTGAATAAAAATCAACTTTTCAAGGCTTGAAATTCATTCTAGAAGGAATTCTTAAAATTAAGAATATTTATTCTACTGTGTGGTCAGGATCTCTAATCTATAGATAATAAATAGATTTTGTTGCTTAGTGTTTTGCATGTGAAAATCAGACAATTTTTTTTTTGGTGGCACATGAAATAAAAGTGCCACAATTGAATAGATGTATAAGATGAGAACTATTTCTCTTTTTTTAACCAAATTTGTCCTTTATAATGCATATTGTATTTTTCTATTAAGTGATGTCAGTTTTCTAGATTAACAAAATGAATAATATCTTTGGTATTATTATAAATTACATCATTTTTGTAGAGTATATTTGTTTATTTTTAATCAATGAGTATCCAAAATTTAAGAACTTGTAAGCTTTTAGATTTTAAAGATGTTACATATACATCAAGGGTTGGAATATACATCGGATTATTACTCTAGACTTTTTTCTGCTGCTGTTACTCTGCCAACAAACTATTCTTAGATCAAAACTTAACCCAGGTTTCCCACAAAGCTACACAATATCTTAGTAAAGAATATTGGCTTTATCAGTTCTTTTTAAAGTTTGTCTGTGATTTAACTTGTTCAGATATAGCATTAAAAACTACAGTAGTGGATCTCATTATTCCCAGACATATAAATAATATAGATGTTCTGGCGATAAAATACATGGCCTGAGCTTTAGTCTAATTACTCCAAGTTATCTTATAACCTCATTAAAAGTTAAGGTCAGGTAGTTACTATGTCTCGGTGGATGTCTTTTAGAAGAGGAGGGACATCGAATGTGACAGTGAACTGAAGGCATCTGTCCTCAGAATCTCGCAATCAGAGAGAATTTAGTTTTTCAGTATTTATAATGGAAACATTTTATGCAGATGGGAAAGCCTATTTTAACTGACAACTGATAATGTCAGTCTCCATATCAATATAGGGTGTTATTTACATATTTTAAACTTAGATTATAAGAGTATAGTGACATCATCTTATCTCATAGGCAAAAGAGCAGTGAGTCTGCTGCCTCGTGTTAATTTGGGGTTTCGGGGGGGAAGTTGTCCCTTTAATTTTTATCTTAATATTCTGTTTTCTAGGGAGTTCAAAATAAAAGGCTGAAAGAAAATGTGAATGAACACTAATGAAATATTGATGAGTTTGTGGGCATTTCCCCCAAAAGCTTTAACTATTGATTTTTTTTTTCTTTTTCTAAAACCTACATAGTTTGACATAATTAGATAGTGATTTAATGGCTGCCTAATTGTTGAAATTTAGGAACCATTTCTAAGCTTGAATTGTTCAATAGAGATGGAAGTTGGTTAGCAATGAGACAGTTTAGCTAAAATTGTCACCATGTCCCGATTTGTTCTTCAAGTGAGTAAATTAATGTTTTTACCACTTGTTCTCTTTTTTGTTCTTTTTTTTTTTGAGATAGAGTCTCACTCTGTTGCCCGGGCTACAGTGCCGTGGTGTCCCCCTAGCTCAGAGCAACCTCAAACTCCTGGGCTCAAGTGATATTCCTGCCTCAGCCTCCCTAGTAGCCAGGACTACAGGCGTGTGCCACCACCACGCTGGGCTAATTTTTTCTATTTTTGGTAGAGATAAGGTCTCACTCTCGCTCAGGCTAGTCTGGAGCTCCTGAGCTCAAGCGATCCTCCCACTAGGCCTCCCAGAGTGCTGGGATTACAGGCAGCCACCGCACGGCCACCAGTTGTTCTCTATCAGTTGTTCGCAGCCCTAGCTGTGAGTTAAATCACTAAGGAGTTTTTAAAATGCTGATGTTTGGGCCACACTGCCCTACCCCCTCCACTCCCAAGATTTGGAGTCCATTGTTAAGCCCAGGTTTCAGTATTTTTTAATCAAGTTCCCCAGATGATTCTAATGGGCAGCCAGGGTTGAGAAACGCTGCTCTCACATGTTCTAATGCCCTTGCCTGAAACTCTTAGTAATCCTAATCCTGTACAAAATGGACAGGAAGGTAGAAGGTTAAAAAGTGACCATCAGCATTTTACTTCTAGGAGGACTGGGGGAAGCTATTATTCTATAGTCTCTGAGGCCAGTTCTGAGTAAAATTTTTGTGGCTGACTTTATGCCTGGTTGAAGGAGAAGATTCCTAAAATGCAGTCTGGTTGTGTGAACATAGCCTCGCTGGGATATTGACCTCTATGCTAGAATTAAATATACTGAAAAGAAATCACTCAGAGGTTTCCCCAATTGTCGGAAGTTCTTTCCTACAAATGCGGTGGGTAACAATGTGTTACTAACACACACCTCACCACCTCAGCATCTCCAGTTCTTCCCTTGCCCCAGCTATCCAATTTATGTGTAAAAGCAGTTTACAACTTGGATAATTAAAAGCATAAACTTGTAAGAAAATAAGAAATTCTGGTCTTTTATTTTTTTAACAGATGCTGGGACTGGCCCAAGGATGTTTTGACTACACTATTCCATATATTAAAGAAAGAGCACAATTTGGCAAAAGAGTATTTGACTTTCAGGTATGTAATTATTAGGCCCTTTCTACTGTACTGGATTCTCCCAGCTTCCTGAAACCGCAAAGCCGTAGAAGATATCGCCTCAAGGGGATTTTAATGGCAGAGGGGTGGGGAGGAAGGAATAGGCCTCGGGGAGTATACTTGGGAATGCCTTGATCTTTTCCAAGGGCAGAACAGTAGTCCTTGAGGCCCAGCTATGGCATGATGCAGGATATCTTGGTGAGCACTATAGCCTCCTCTCCTCACTGCTTCAGAAGTTCCAGGGTATGGTGTCTGGAGTCAGATTTCCTGGGTTGAAATCCTGGTTCTTCCACTTACTAGCTTTAGGCCATAGGCAAGTTATCTTGCCTTGCTAAATTTCAACTGCCTTATCTGTAAAATAATACTACTACTTATCCTATTTTAAATTAGGAGTGTGTAAGGTGTTTTGCACATTGTTTGGGTATAACAAGTGTTCAGTAAATAGTAACACTTGTTATGAGTCCCTTGTTTAGTCTAGAACCATCTGGTAATCCTCAGAGGATTATGCTTTGGCACATTTTATGGAAGAACCAGTTTGCTGCAGTAAATGCAAATGAGATTCGATCAGCCAAGCATATTGGGAAATACCAGCCTGGTCCAATGACACAGCTTCTCAGAACTCCCCAGGCAATCGGGGAGTCCTTGCTGGCAATGGTATTCTTCCTGTCTTGCCAGGGTAGGGGGCAGCCTGGAATGGCAGCTCACCAAGCCTTTTAGACAACCTGAAGCATGTCACATAAAATTCCAGAGTAATTACTTTACATGGTTGCAAAACCTCCTTTCAAGCAGCTCTAGGCTCCAAGTACAATTTCTTATTACACTATCAGCTCTGTTGTGCTGCATTGTTTTCAAGTTTATAATAATGACAAGTACGCTCAAATTGCACATGTGTAGAGATACTAGGCTATGCGCATGTGCAGCCAGTTCAAGACCAGAAGGACTGAGCACGGCAGGCCTGGCCAGTGCCTACCACAGCCCATGCTATCATCCCCATCTTATGCGCGGGAAACTGAGACACGTGTAGTTCGAGTTCACAGGGTCACATAGCTGGTATGGTACCAAAATTACAGGTTTTTGCCTTGGCTCCTGGGCTAATTTTCATTTCATTATAATAGAGTACTTGCTCAGAGCCAGCTACCACAAAGATTGCAATGAAAGGGACAGAATGTAAAGACCGTTTTGAGAGTTTTTGACCTCCATTGTATGCAGGAAACAGTGTTTCCGTGTGTGTCTATATATAGAGATAGGTCAGGTATACTAATAGGTATAATCATAATGACATTTTTAGAGATGCCTAGTGTGGATAATTTAAAGAAAACTTGGAAATTTGATCTTAAAAAGCAACATTATTAACTATGGGAAACTTTGATTAAAGTTAGTAGGATTTTTTCCTAACAACTTTATCTCATTGGGGTGATTTGGTTTTTGCTTTGCGTGCATTCATTCTTATCTTTCTCACCTCTAGACTACAAGGTCCTTGAGGGTACAGACCAGGCCTGTTCATCTTATTTCTTTCAATTGTTTATTCAGCATAGATTTATTGAACATGTTCTCCGTGCCAGGCCTTGTGTTCTCAGCATAGTTAGGGAACCAGAATTCAGCAATAGTGAGTTCTTACAGAGCAGGAGGCATGCCTCACTCACTTTTCTGCTTCTCGTGGTACCTAACATGGTAATTGGAATAAACAACATGGATGGTATCTGTAAGTTTAATTGAACTGAACGAATGTACTTTGCAAAAATAATCGGAATCTCCTAATTCCATATAAAAAGCCATAAAAAATTTCTAGAATAGTGATATTGGCATAGAAATAGACAAATTAACTGATGGAACAAATCAGGCTAGAAATAGACCCACGTATGTATACAAATTTGATATATGACAGAGATGGCATTGCAGATCACAGAATGGGAATATTCTTTCCATGGGGATACAAATGAAACTGTGTCCTTACCTCACACCATACAGAAAATAGATTCCAGATATAAAGACGTAATGTAAAAAGCAAAACTTTAAAAATTTTAGGAGAAAATATAGGAGAATATCTATATGATCCCATGGTAGGAAAGGATTTTGCAAACAAGACACAAGAAGTACTAATGATAAAGATAGGATTGGTGATAAGATTGGTAAATTTCTTTTCCTCAAAAGATGCCATAAAGTGATGAGAGAAATCAGAAGGGGAAAGATATTTACTCTGCACATAGTTTTATGGGTATTTAATTTATTATTATGCTTCATAACCTTCATAACCTACATTTTTTTGTACATATCAAATAGCAAGGAGAAGAATCTATAGGATATTTATGAGCAGTGTGGTTTTCTCCAGCTTATTCCTCCATTTTTTAAAAGGCTATTCCTGGGATTACTGTATGATTGCCTTAATCAAGGTTCTCTATCTTAACATTCATCACACATTATTATAATTATTATCTGTTCTCCCCGCTGGATGGTATGGATCATGAAAATAAGGAACTGTGACTGTAACGTTCAGTGTGATTCCTCCACTGCTCCGCACAGTGCCTCGTGTGCCGTAGCCGCTTGGTAAATATCTGAGTGGATGGATAGGAAGATTAGGCATGAGAAACATTTCGGTTTGCAATAAACATCTGTGCCTAGTATTTCCAGGAAATTGTTTATGACTGTAAATGTTAATATCTGTATTCTCGCTCACTAAGTCAGTTTCTTTCATTGACAAACATTCAGTGTGTGCCTAATCACCCTCGAAAATTTCAGGGTTAGAGTAATTGGTGCTTCAAATATTCCTTCATTACCTTGCAGGTAACATCTTATAATGCCATGGGGCCCTATAAAAAAATCAAAATTTTCTTAATTCAAGCAAATAAAGAATATATTCAAAGTTTTGTTGTGCAGGGATTTAGTTTAAACTCAATTTTGATCTCTTTAAGTTAAAAATAATTATTAAATATAACAGTCAAATTTTTAAACTTTGTGATAATTTATTATTTAAATCTTGACAATTGTGAAGAAATACATGGACTTTGAAATTTTTCTAAGAAAAGAGGGTTTAACAATACCTGTAGTGTCATATTTCATTTTAGGTTACAGATTTTAAAGTACTTTAAAAAAATGAATGTGAATTCCTTTGGAATATATTTTGAGCCTGTCAGTGTTGTGTGTCCAGGCAGGACTTTGAGGATGAGTTGCTTTTTAGAAATCGTAATTCTCTAACTTGGTCCTGAATGTTACAGGGGCTACAACACCAAGTGGCTCTCGTGGCCACCCAGCTGGAAGCTGCAAGATTGCTAACATACAACGCAGCTAGGCTTGTAGAAGCTGGAAGGCCATTCATAAAAGAAGCATCTATGGCCAAATACTATGCATCAGAGGTAAAAAATACAATACAGTACAATACAAACAACAGAATAAAAGTAATTAAGTATTATAATTGATCCTTCTTTTTCTTTCCCAGATATGTTGATAACCTTTTCACTTAGGAATGTTGATTGAATTTTGGTTGTTCTTCAAGTACGATAACATGGACTTCCCAGTTCCTATGATAGAAAAGCAAAAAAGTAAAGCTGCCTGTCGCTTCCACCAACACAGTCTCTCCCCTTTCAAAGTGTCTGTGAGGCCACATCACTCTCCAGCTTTAAACTCTTCAGTGGCCTCTCGCAACAAATGGAACTGTATTTGTATTAGATTCCTGTCTCTGCTGTAACGAATTACCAAAGATGCAGTGGCTACAGCAGTAGAGTTTTCTTCTCTCTTACTTCTGGATGTCAGAAGTCTGAAATGGGTCTCAATGGAATAAAAGAAAGACATCAGCAGGGCTGCCTGTGTGGACATTCTAGGGAGAATCCGTTTCCAGCTTCTAGAGGCCGCTCGCTTTCCTTGACGCGTAGCCCCTTCAGCTCAAAGCCAACAGCGTGGCATGTTCAAGTCTCTGCTCTGCTTCCTGTCTCCATGGCCACGTGGCCTTCAATGATGTACTCTCCTGCTCCCTCTTTCCCTTGTAAGGACATTTGTGATTACCTTGGACTCACCCAGATAATCCAGGATAACCACCCCGTCTCAAGGGCCTTACCTTAATCACATCCACAGAGTCGCTATTGCGGCATATGGTAGCATATTCTCAGTTTCTGGGGATTAGGACGTGGACGTCCTTGAGCAGGCAGCCGTTATAATACTCAAACGCTCACCACTCGCTAAGGTGGGCCTGCCCTCCACTCTCTTTTCACAGCTCACCCCGGTCCCAGCTGCAGGCTCGCTCGCAGGACCTTGGGGACGAGGACCCCACTGTCGCTGGAGCCTTTCCTCATGTTGTTCCTTGGCTTGAAATGCCCCAACTCCTCCTTTAGGTGTCAGCTATGCTGTTAATCCCTCAGCTATTCCGCCATCTATGTCATGTCAACGCTCCTAACAAGCTCTCCTTTCACCCCAGGCCGTCTATCAGTTTCTGTGCTTGTGGTTTAATGTCTCTCAATGGCCACCAGGACCAGTGGGGCAGTGACCAGCCACCCCAGCATTGCATACCCGGCGGCTGGCAGAGTATGGGGCATAAAGAGGGCCCTGGATAAATGTTCCCTGAATGAACAATTCCTCTCAGCAAGCACACAGGGTGAACACTACTCTAATTTTCTTAAGAAAATGGGAATTTTGTGAATTAATAGGATATTTTACAGAAATGGTGTAGAGAATATGACTACAGAGACAGTGCTAGTTTATAAAATAACTTCATTCCTTCCAGTTCCCAATTCCAGTAAATCCATGTTGCCAAAAATGTTACCCAGAAGTGTTTATAATACATAAGTTCTATGGTTTCAATGTGTGATTTGCTTCTTATTTTTGTAGATTGCAGGGCTGACAACTAGTAAATGTATCGAGTGGATGGGAGGAGTAGGTTTCATCAAAGATTACCCTGTGGAAAAATACTTCCGAGATGCAAAGATTGGTAAATACATTATTTTACATTTTATTTGTTTTATTTGCCTCTTTAGGTGTTTTGGCTATTTTATTTGTCAATTTTATATAATATTACTGGTATCTAGATAAAGACAATTTTAATCTCTTCAGTAGGTGTTTTTTGGCTTTCTTGTTTTATTGTGGCTGGGTTTTTTCCCTACCTCTTATTTAATAAAAGGGGGTGGGGCATGTTTTTAAAAACATCAAATTGCCTTTTAAAATACCTTAACAGGCTTTTCAGTGAAACTACAAGAAAATCTACCTTAATTTTTTTAAATTTTAATATTTTATGATTAGTGCAGTTTAAGGCTGTTCTTTAAGGAATCATTCTAGCGTCAGAAGCTAAGTGTCTAATAAAGCCTGAGCAGCTCAGCTCCACGACTAGATAGGAAAATAAACAACGACAGCTCCGAAAGCTACCTGTTCCTTAATAACAGTCTGAGTTTATGCATTAATAGTTTGAGAATCAAAATCTTCAACTGTTTAATACTGATTCTGGACATCTATAAGCCAAATGGAAGATTGTCGTCTCTTAGTCAAAATTACTTTGTCAAATAGTACCATGTTCAGGGGACATCGAATGATGTTACTAGTAACAGTTTTATAACACGCAGAGGTAACGTGCATAGAGCTAGTTCTTGTATAGACTCTTAACTGTGGTTCCACTCCCAACTGTTCCTTTTGCTCCCTTTTGTTTAAGGTGCAATATATGAAGGAACTTCCAATATTCAGCTGAACACCATTGCGAAGCTCATCGATATGGAATACTGACATCCCTAGGAATGCAACTTCTGGTATCGTTGTTGTAAAATTTTAAACTATTGTGCCTTGTTGGAAAAGTAAACCTCCAGAGCATCGAAATATTTTATTTCAGCCCTTGGTTGTGGTCCTGGGGGCAGGCCTTTTAGATTTTACCGTTTCAGTGTGCTTAACTTAGGCACAGGAGATCATTTTTTTAAATTTGGGAAGACAAGCATCCATATTTTCTCCAGAACTGCTTTTAAAGTTCTATACATATTTATAATATCATTCTAGTTTCAGAGTATAGAGAAGTTTCACCTCATCAGTATTTGGGAAAATAAAGATATTTGAAGTACTGAATTACTTATAGAAATAGTTATTTTATATTCCTATTAAATCTTTATCTTGTGGCATCAGAGAAACATTTGTTATAGGAGGCAATTTTTACTTAATATTCTTTTCAATTCTAAGCGGCTAAATGAGGTACAAACTAAATAAAAATTTATTTAGAAAAATCTAAAAATTCTATGAGAATGGGTAGAAAGTAA